TGAAATTTCATTGATTTAAACATATCAGAAAATCTAAGTTAACACATACAAAATATAGAACTGAGAGAAGAGATTATTAGGAAGACCCTACTTTGCTAATGCCTTTAGACCACTAGATTTTGTGTGTAACCACAGCCAATGTAAATCCTTAAGACAAACAATCATGAAGCTTTACACCCTTAAGTATCATCCAGCCTACTATGTACAGAACTTCATCAGCGGTAAGTACAACTCAAATGTTCTCTGAATTAACTTCCAAAACTTGTAAAGCTTTATCAGCTCAGATGGTAAATAACTACAGGTTATTTGATAGCTAAACTTGTCAGAAACTGCAAAAGAGATATAATCCAATTGTTATTGAAAGTAATGAATACACTTTTATGGTCACTTCATGTCAGGTGCTAACAGACAACAGAATCACTAAACACCACATTCACATCAGACATCATATGTTTGTGAATATTTATGCTTAAGAAACTTTGAATTCTATCCAAATGTAAATGCCACAGTATAATTGATCAGTCATGATCATGAAAGTCTTCCAGAGTATTCTCATTTCTAAAACAAACTAAGATGGTGAAAAATTCAGGTTTCAGTGAAAGTGAATCGTCAATGGATTACTGGCAATTCCAGAGTGGGGACAAAGCATTCAGTGGGAATGGAAAATGGCCCCAGTATAAACAAGCCCACATAGGATGACTGTATAACACTTTTCAAATGGTAAGTGGTAAATGTACAGGCTATTCGGTTGTTAAGTGATGTACAGAACATAATCTGACACATTTTAGATACCAGGATTCTGACATTTGAAGTAGAACATATAAATGACAGAAGCACTATGGCTAAATTTCTTGTGGTCATTTGAAAGTCTTACCTAATGCATTTCAACTTTTGGAAATCCGTATGTATTTTAATTTTGAGAAACTAATTAACGCTAATCTCTACTAAACACATGAAGATATGTATGTGCTAATGAAAGATACTCCCCCCACAAATACTGATTCCATATGAAAAGCGACATGCACTCTAGACAAGCACATTCTCCTTCTATGGTTACTGATAAAACACAGCTGCAAGCATCTGCAAAGGGCAGATTACTTTTTTTTCCCCAGCATAGATATTGGCATTAGTTGGAGGAAAAGAACATGCAGTTTCAGCTGGCTGAACATGAGCCAGCAGAGTGCCCAGGCAGCCAAGAAGGCCAATGGCATCCTGGCCTGTATCAGAAATAGTGTGGCCAGCAGGACTAGGGAAGTGATCGTGCCCCTGTACTCGGCACTGGTGAGGCCGCACCTCGAATACTGTGTTCAGTTTTGGGCCCCTCACTACAAGAAGGACGTCGAGGTGTTAAGAGCGTGTCCAGAGAAGGGCAACGAGGCTGGTGAAGGGTCTGGAGAACAAGTCTTATGAGGAGCGGCTGAGGGAACTGGGGTTGTTTAGCCTGGAGAAAAGGAGGCTCAGGGGAGATCTCATCGCTCTCTACAACTACCTGAAAGGAGGTTGTAGCGAGGTGGGTGTCGGCCTCTTCTCCCAAGTAACTGGCGATAGGACGAGAGGAAATGGCCTCAAGTTGCGCCAGGGGAGGTTTAGATTGGATGTGAGGAAAAATTTCTTTACTGAAAGAGTAGTTAAACATTGGAACAGGCTGCCCAGGGAAGTGGTTGAGTCACCATCCCTGGAAGTATTTAAAAGACGGGTAGATGAGGCACTTAGGGACACAGTTTAGTGGGCATGGTGGTGTTGGGTTGACGGTTGGACTCGATGATCTTGGAGGTCTCTTCCAACCTTAATGATTCTATGATTCTATGATCTTGCTTATTCTTTGGGGATCTTGGTGGATAAAACCAATTCCTGATACTAAGGACTGAGGACCAAAGCAACTTGTTTGCATTTGAAAGCCATTATGAAGTGCACTAAAGGCAGCAACCACAATATACTGTACACCTGCATATACATTTAATCTGCTTCAGTATTTTTCTCCTTCACCTGCTTATTATAGTAATTTTATCTTTGGATCCTTAAGCTCTTCAGATGGGCCTTGTTTTTTTCTTTTCTCTGTGCACAGTAAGATAGGGACCTGATAGGGACCAGCAGGGACCTTGTTCATGACATGAATCTCTGCTGAAAAAATGTAATATAACTGGACAAGCGCATTCAGATCCATCTTCAGACAGTAACCCCAGCTCAAAATTATTTCTCACCAAAACGGTTTCTAGAATTTTTCTTTTCTACTATCTACCAAGTGAACTTAGATTATAATCTATAGACAAAAGACTGCTTTTGAGCTGCACACCCACTGTCCCAAGGGTACCAGGGAAAATCCTAGGACCATCAAGTGTGTTTCTTTCACAGAGAAGAGGGAGCACTGCTGAAGATGAGGATAGTACTGCAAGTCTGGTGTCCTCAAAGTGCCTGAAATTAGCAGTTGGCAGACAATTGCTGGGGTTTCCCATGTAACTTCTTACCAAAATAAAACATTCTCACCTAAAAGTTTATAGTGCTAATGATAACTCTAACATCTCCTCTTAAATGCATTTTAGCTGTTTCAAAATAACACGACATTGATACTTCTTTTTTTTTTTTTCCCCTGTTGAACTCCTGTTCTGAAAAAGTACAGCTCACATCCTTTCTGAAGCTTTTTCCCCCATGTCCAACCTGAAAGCTCACTTCTGGCCTAACTAAGACAAAGCTAGTTCTCTGTCCAAACACACCATAAAAGCTCATTCCTTTCTTTCTCACGCTTCAGTCACAATGCATCCCATTTCCCTCCTAATACTCTCTTTCCAAAAGTTTCTTGTATGTTCTAACAGAAATGTCTTCTCAGCTGCTAAACAAGAGAGACCCAACAAATAAGAGTTTGGCATGTGCAGGAGATGAGTAAGGCTTGCCCTTTTGACAGGAATGAGCTGCTCATGGAAATGCAGCCTCAGTTGTTAAAAAGATACCCGATATAAAGAAACATTGAGCACAATCAGGTCCCACCAAAGCATGAACCACTAGTAGTAGTTTCATTTAATTAGACACATAAATATATATTTCAGCACCTAGTTTTAAAATAAACATCTGAAACATCAGTTCTGTGCATATATATACACATTTTTATAGATTTGACAAAAAGAGCAGACAAACTGACATGAGCACAAGTTGTATCAGTTTTCATAGCAATGCAGTTTCTTCAAATAAAGGAAAGTAAGGCTAACTGCTAGGGAGTGATACCATTTTACCTTTTTGCATTTGGCAGGAATTGATACTACAAGAGACATATACAGCACAGAGGCCTTGCAGGGGGAAAAACTGCTAAACACATGCTCAAGTAAGTAGCAAAATAATGTCACTGTTTCAATATATTACTTTATATATTGACTAGATGGTCTATACGTGTGTGTGTGTGTGTACATATATACAAAAGCCTATATCTACTTAAGACAGTCTTCAACTGGGAATTTGTAACTCAAAAAGCAAGTGTTGGTTAAGCTAAATGCTACCAAAGAAAGAGCTAACATGCAAATCATCACTCAGTTTAATGTAGTTTCCAATCTGTAACAGCATGGAACAAACAACTTCAAAACAGCTATGCTGGTGCAATGGAGCTATGCCAATTTACACTGGATCCAGGATCTGTCCCAGTGTATAGTTCCTTCATTCACTCCATTAAATCACGTTTGCCAGCAACTACATTGTACTAATGGGTACATAAAGCTATTCTGCACCTGTCGATTGCCAAGGCATCTGTGCAAACACAATGAAATGGAAAGAAGTGAAGCAAGGAACCCTACCGCTAGAAATAAACCTAAATCAATACAAATAAAACTTAAGCACTTGGCATGTATGGCTGACTTCTTGCTAAGTATAAATGGTATCAAGGCATGGTTTTAGCCCAATACTACCTAACAATGTTTAAATAAATCAGTTTATATCTTACCAAACAATATTCTTTGCATTTAATTGTCCTAATGCAAAACGAAGTAAATCTTCAAGTGGCAAATGCTCAAGATAAATTAACATGTTGAGATTCAGAAAAGTTCGGTTTTCTTTCAAGGAGCTACAGAGCTACTTCCATTTTCTCACTAGGTTCAGTGCTGTTTTATTTTGATGGCTCAGAGAGAATCATCAGTCCTGGTAGAAAATCTTCAGTTCTGCTTTGTGTTACTCCTGTTTCTGAGACAACCAGTACAAAGCAAAAGTACAAATCCAAGAAGTGGAATTTCCACGAGATGTTACACTTGCATGAGTAGCTGTTATTGCCAGCTGCAGCAGCCAGAATATCAATTTACTCACTGCACAAATTTTAGAAAGCATGATATAAAAGTGAAGGCAGCCTTATCATTACCTGCTTGTTTTCATTTCAGAAAGCTGCTTCCCCTTACCTTCTTTAAGTATCTACTAACACTTTTTTTTATTGCAGTTCATCTTGAAAACTAATCATCATAAATTTAAAAACATTTTCTTGCAAATCTGTCAGGTTTGTAGTGCTATTTCATTTATTACAAGACCACATGACGCATCAGAGCTCTGTATTTGAACATGACATATTTTCACTTTGTTTTGATACCACATTTGAAAATTGTTCCTATCAATCTTTCACTGGAGCCAAAACTTAACTGTCTTTTTCACTGAAATATTAAATGCCAAGTCACACAGATGAAATAAAAGTATTTGCAAGTTTAACATCTGCATTTGCAGTTGCAAACATTTGGAAAAATTTCCTGTCGAAAATGTCTATAGAAGAGAAGCCACGAAAGTGAATGAAGTCCACAGTCAGTACCAAAAGCAATTATTCCTAATCATCATAATCAGAGCACACTGAAAGTTAAGAGATTTCATGAACAGGCTGATCCTCAAGTAGAATTTTGGAAGTGTTTACAGTTCAGATTTCCAAAAAGTATTACAGCTTACATGCATTTGCCGGACTCAGCTTATTCATTGTTTAAGATCCATGATTTTCTGCACAGTTCGCTAGAGAGGAGTAAAAAACCCAAACAGGCAGGCCATATACTTACATTCCCCATAATGCATCATTTTCTCTCTAAACAGTGGCAGCAAACAGGCACATCCAATACTGTATTACTTTCTTCTCTCATTCATGACGATGTCACACACAGGTTCTTTGATTCTGAAAAAGAAGCATTTCCCAGGTTCTAAGGATAGAGGTACCCCAACCAATCCATCATGCTTTGTGTGCTAATGATAGACTCATGCATAAGAGGCACCAGAAGCAGTCAGAGGGAGCAGGCATGAAAAGGAGCAAATCAACTGTCAAGGGTTCTGATCTGAAGGACTGCAAGGCTGTGATTAGAATTTTCAATCAGGACTTCCACAATTCATCACGCTACAAGGGAAGGGAGGGGCATACTTCTTCATCAGCCCTTTCTGCTATTGGCATAGCAAGTTCTAGGGCATTAAAAAAAGGAAATCTTAACGTCTTATGTTTATAAGCGGGTATGTTTGAATCTTCAGGGAGTGAAGAGTAAAAGATTTTCTGGGACTGCATAGCTACTACTTTTTGTCTGCATACTCAAAACAAAAACAAGATTATTCGCAGCACAGCCGTTCAGCTGATGAAAAAGAAAACACAGCTCCTCTTCTCTCTCCTGTTGTAGGAATACTTACGGACACCTGAGTGAGAAGTAGCCCTGGAAACCTTTGACTGTTGTCTTTAGGGATACGAAAAGGAAATCCTTCATCAGAATTCGCTAATGCACTCTGTGAAACTTCAGCAAATAAAAAGGCAGAGCTCTTCACAAGGACAGTATTCTCACAATCTGCATGAAATCACCTGCAGCACTTGACAGGTGGCATATAGTCACATTTTCAAAATGTAAAAAGGACCAACAAGTTGGCTGAGCACATAAGTTCAGAGTTATCAAACACGTGGTCTAACTTTGCTTTCCTTATGGTATTTGTTTGCCTTGGTACTACCTCTACTGACTCGCCAAAGAAAAAGACAATCCCACAACTTAACAGCCTAGAACAGGACTCAGAACTCTGCTACAGCCTCCATATTGAAACCACAAGAAAGTCACAAAAGCTTTTCAAATGTTTTGCTGCTTCTTCCCCCCCCTTCTCACCTATGAAATGCAGCAACTGTCTCATTGAATACAAATTTTGCAAGAACTCATTCACAAAGGGGATTGCTGCCTCAGAGAGCAAGCCTTCAAAAAAATACCAGCCCAGCAATTAGGAACTGGGTACTGGTGACTCGAACAAGTGCCACAGGTAACGAGTGGTCTGTCTGTATCAATGTCACTGCAGAGTCTTTGTCTCAAAATCTAGATCCAAGTGACAGCCCAGGCAGATTATTTATTGAAATATATGAATGAAGCATTATTTTAAAAGGCAATTTTCATGTTAAACTATGAATAATGAACAGTAAAGACAGTTCTTATTTGCATAATTAATGTTTCAGTTATTGATATTCCTTCAGAGAGTCACTAGCCTTTTTTCTCCAAGTTAATTAATTAATAAAGCAACTCCTTTTATGTAGGTAATTGTAATCACTTTAATACTCAAAGGCATGTAAAATACCTGGCACTGGTGGGTTTTTTTTTTTTAATGTTGCAACCCTAGTGACACAATGATCATTTGCATAAATGTAAACACCGAATGGGTCCATTTAGCTCCCGACTAGAAAGAAATCCTTTGAAACTAATAGGAAAGAAATACGCAAATTATGGACAAACACGGCAATATGGGCAAGACCACCTTTTGTCCTTACATCACAACAATCATATTTTCCTTAATGCAAATCTCAGCTTCGAGACAATATATGCTAATGGTGCAAATCCGTCCTCACATTTAGCTGAAGATTGCTCTGAGGACATAGAATAATTTAGGAAAGAATAGATGTTTATTGGAAAACAAATACAAACTAGAAACCTGTTAGCAAGCTGTCGTGGTTTAACCTCAGTCGGCAACTAAGCACCACGCAGCCGCTCGCTCTCCCCCCCCCTCCCCCCCCCGATGGGATGGGGGAGAGAATTGGAAAAGCACAAGTGAGAAAAACTCGTGGGTTGAGATAAAAACAGTTTAATAATTGAAATAAAATGATAATGATAATAATATGATAATAATAATAATACACAAAGCAAGTGATGCACAGTACAATTGCCCCCCCCCCGCCAACCGAAGCCCAGCCAGTCCCCGAGCAGCGGCCCCCCCGGCCAGCTTCCCCAGTTTATGTACTGAGCATGACATCACATGGTATGGAATGTCCCTTTGGCCAGTTTGGCTGTGCCCCCTCCCAGCTTCCTGTGCACCTCCAGCCTTCTCAGTCGGTAGAGCATGGAAAACTAGAAAGTCCTTGGCTAGTGTAAGCATTAGCTAGCAACAACTAAAACATCGGTGCCTTATCAATTTTGTTCCCATCCTAAATCCAAAACACAGCACTGTACCAGCTACTAGGAAGGAAATTAACTCTATCCCTGCCAAAACCAGGACACAAGCAGAAAGCTTTAAACGCTCAACATTTTACAGGTAATACAGAACTTTTTCTTTTTCCATTAAGAAATACACAAACAAATCCCGCAAACAGAAGCCTGATCCCACAAAGAACTGTTACAGAAAGACTTACTGCCCATGGTAAGTCTTACTCAAGTCAGGTGAGATGGTTACTTTGCTCAGTAGCCAGAGCTTACATGCAGCTGCAGCAGATCAGGCATCATGCAAAATTCAACCTGGAAAGGTCTACTGAATGCAGTGCTTGAAGAAAACAGGAAAGCTAAGAGGTTATCGCAGTTATAAAAATTTTTTTCCCCTCCCTTTTTAGAGACAGTACTGAGTGACCAGGTTCAGTACAATATTATGAACATCTTGATCCACAAGTCAGTTTAAAAGCTACACAGCCTGTCTGTGAGCTATTGTCTCACAAGTCAATTACTACAGCTTCTTGTCTGTAAATCTCAGTCTTGCTCCATTCATAATCCATCCAAAACACTACTGCAAAAACCATTTTAGTGGCCTCTTTCATCATGTCTCTTCTAGATGCAGGAGAATGAATACCGGGATTACCATTTTTACCACATGTAATATTGTTAAACCACTAAATAACCTGTACTCATCCCATTTCTGACCCTTTCTAGCTACGTCACCATACTTTCCTGCCAAACAGGCATCTTCAGGGGGCGGAGGAGGGGGTGTCTAGGCTGCCCTCCTAAAGCCACGCAGTTCTCCAAAGCCAGTTCTCTGTTGTTCCAATTTCACCTCGAATACGTTGTTTATTGTGCAATTTAATGAAAGAGAAAGAAAGGGATAGAAGATGTTGGTATCCAAGTACTGACACCACTGACCAGCTGATAACTGGAGTCCCATCATTCTGGTATTTCCTCATCAGAAAAGTTACTGTCTCTACTATCAATCATTCCGAGAGAGAGGTTTTGGGGTTTTTTTCTGTTTTATACAGTGCCTAGCACCACTGAGGGAAACTGAAGGGAAGGAGGGCCCCAATCCATGTCCACAGTTCTGGGGAATGGAATGGCAATATAGATATATAAATACACAATAAATGCTATTATTTGTTTTATGCACTCATCTGCATCATATCAGCTGCTAAAACCTTGCAAACATTCCAGACATCATGAAGAATCGCTGCAACCTGTTTTCAGACTGTAAATCTCAAATCTGCTCTCCATCTGAGAGATTATAACAAAATGTGAAATAACCTAAAAATTGAAAGTCATTTCACAGAAAATGGAAATAGATACTGCAGAAAAAACACATTCCAGACTTGCAAATTCTATCTTTTATGTAATCCTTATCCATAATCTTCCAGGGGACTATTTTGATCTCTCTCTCAGCAAGCACACCTCACAGTATTTTTAACCACTGCAGGTCTTTTTAGCCAGCAGTCGGTTGTGTATTCAACTGGTCGTTCTAGCAAACAGTATTCAAAACATGCAGGAGTAAGGAATGCAGCCACTAAGTAGATTATGAATAAAACACTCAGGTATTCTTTCTGTATTTCTCAGAAATTACTCCCAGCCAAGGAGCATAATAGAGATCTACTTCTTCAGTGTCTCACTTCTAAAGGATCGATGTGGTGCGAACACAGGCACTACAGGACTTAACAGCAAGTTCTAACTGCTTCTTAGAAGACAAGAGCCTCCTCAACAGCTTTCTCCCGGGCACTGAGGAGCTAGCTAAATAGCTGCTATTAGTGTATATTTCTGTCTTTTTGTCAAAATCGTACTTAATAAACACAAAGTACCTACAATGGACAGATCCGAGAGAAGATATAAATGAAATTCTAGATTAACAAAGCTCCATTAAACCAACTTAGCAATTTTATCTCCAGGGATAACAATTTGGCTTGCAGTGGTGGGCTAAATAATGCAGTCCAACACATTAAGAATAGATCTGTATTCAAACTGAACGGACTGTTAGCTCAGAAAAAAAAAGGAAGAAGGGAAAAGAAATGCTGAAGTAGCTGTTTCCTGCCCACAGCACACTTTCTCTTCTCCTTCATCTTCGAAAACTATCATGATCATACATCCATCACCATATCTTGCACGTTCCTTGAGAAAGAGACAAAATAGGTATCAAATATCTGTGTCTTAATGGGTGTCATCAAAATAAATACCAATTCATTTGGATGCAGCACATGTAACATGCATAAAACATCCAGAAATCAGTGTCATTAAAAAGTGGGGCTTCCTCTCTGCCAACCAGCCACTGTGACAGCAAGGGCTGTTTTTATCATTTCATGCCGCAGATACCTTCACTTCCCCAGAGTGCATTTAGAAGCAAGCCTGGAAATTTCTCCTCTGACCAAGAGGCAAGTCACCTTTTCTCTCTCTATAGTCACAGTCTCAGCCATGCAGTTTTCCATGAGACAGTGAAAAGTTTCTCTATTGTCAGCACCGAAAGCTTCTCTTAAAGTAGTTCTATTTTTTTGTATGTAGCCACATTTTCATCAAATTTTAGTTCATACATTTTATTAAACTGTTTGAACACCTCAGGATTTAGGTTAGAAAAAGATCCTGAAACATAGGCTAGGCTACAGTGGGCTTTCTAGGGAATACTCCACTAAAGCAATCTCTTGATAGGTAAGGTATCTTTCTTGCTG